TGATATGTTAGAAAAGGTTGAATATCTTTATTTTAGATCATTCGACCGAGGCAAATTTAGTCGGATAATTTTTATTTCTCGCGCTTAGTTAATATAGCGTATCGCGTGACCGTGACAAAGTGGCTGTTTTGGACGTCAGGTAGGCTCAGAAAAAGGGCGCTGAAAATTCGTTGTTTCAGTAGCCCAAAAATGTTATTACGTTTTCTCTAAGAAGAAACATCATTCTTTCAAGGGAATATAGTTTTATAACCTCAGGGCATGTAGCAATGCCCTTTTTCAATCTTTCGATTTAGCGTTCAATTTGACATGCCGAAACGGAACAGAAATACAAATATATTTAAAAATTCTGAAAATATTGAGAATTTAATTAAAATCAATGAAACTAAGCAAAATTACTAAGAAGTTATTCTTCTATACAATTCGGGGATTAGTGGCGAAATATATTCTTTCCTCAATTTTTTATGGATTTTCTAATCGATACCGGTCTGAGGCAGGCGTAAAGCGGGTGTGAAGCTGTCGTATAGAAAACGCCGTCTTTCGCGAAAACCAAAAATCCTGTGAACATTTCTATATTTTTTCCATTTCTAACTCACCAAAACCTATCTTTGGAAATATTTTGGGAATTTTCGATTTTTTCATTTTGCACACTTCTGGTCGACATTTACTGATCCCCGCTCTTAAGGAGGGTTGAAACGGTTTTTCTTGAGCGAGTAGACATCCTTCATGGAGAAAAAAAGAAGAATCCACATGTCCTTGAATTAAAAAAAGTCGCTTATAAAAAATAATAAATAAGTATTTAAGAAAAGATCTAAGGCTAAAGGAAAAACGAAGAAGAAGAGGAAAAATACTTTTAATGCGATTAAAGCCCTCTGCCCTTGGGTGTACGGATTACACAGGATTGTGTTCTAGACGAATCATCAGGGTAGAGACTAGCCGGCCCCCAGAATATATCTAGAGCTAATCCCTTGCACTCTGCCACGCACGGAATCGATTTGAAGAATGATGTGCACGTGAACAAATTGAGTCTATCTGGTGCATTGTCTTCACGGCAATTGTTATGCTGATTCACCTGGAAGCGTGGACTAGTGGGGAAATAACTTGGGCTTCCATGACAATAAATCAAATTCGGTTGAGCTAAGTTAAGACATGGATGGGTGAAACTTATGCCTGCTTAACTTTCTCTTGTAAATTTTGTCGTAACTTTCTGTCGTTTACGATTCGTTTTCGTTGAGAAATCCTCGAAAATTAAAAACTGCCGGACTTTTAATCCGTGTCCGGCAGTCTATGGTCAAAAGAAAGAGCAATTTTGTGCCGCTTAAAGAGTTGTTCGATCCTGTGCCAAGGAAGGACAAAAGCGTCAAATTGGAATTTGTTAAGCGGAGGAGATTCTCTTGCTTGAATAATAGATCTTGTTAACCATAAAATAAGCATATAAATATGAAAGTTTAACAACTCATCTAACATGCACCAACTTGTTTCTTATTTGCAGCAACTTTTGTAAAATTCAGCAGTTCGTCTAGCATAGCACGAGCAACTTGTTTTTTAGTTGACTCGTCTAACTTGCAAGATGTCCCTTATTGGCCACCGTACCCTTTGCTATATATAAACAAAACTACTTGAAGTTAACTTGATTTTCATAACAATTTTACTGAACAATTTTTTAAGATACATTTTGCTTCACGAGAAYGTCGGCTACAGTCTACGAAGAACACGATAAATTTGTCAACTTGACGATCAGAAGAACGGGAGCAATCACTGTGTCAAACGCGTCTGTCATGTGAGTATATAAATAGAACTCGAGTAGCTTAATTTTATTTCACATCGATTTAGCCTACAACAAAATCCACCGACTTGTTTTTTTTTACGCTGACGAAGAGCTAAATGCAACAAAATACCAGTAGACTTAAGTATATTTTTCCTATACAGTGTTCTACATACATGTATATATGTATGAGTAGAACGTTGACTTTGCACCGATCAGGTACAGGCGGATACGTAGGTGTTTAGGTGCTTAGGTAGGTAGTAGGTAGTAGTGTTGGTGATGGTGTTGGTGTTGGTGTAGGTAGGTAGGAAGGTGAAATGGGTAAGTAGGTAGGTAAGATGAGTAGGTAAGTTATAATAATAGGTAGGTAATATATAAAAATTTTTTTTAGGTAAGTAGGTAAGTGGGTAGGTAGGTGGGTATTGAAGCAGGTAAATAGATAAGCCGAAGGGTAGCTAAGTAGGTGGATAGATGGATAGATGGATAGATGGATAGATGGATAGAATGATCTATGATCACGTAACATTAAATATGGCATGAAATCAGATGTGACCAAACTTTGCGGAATATTATTCTATGATAATTGTTGCTAAAACTAAGAATTTTGAAAGAAGCCTTCATAATACTACGTGTATGTTTATGTAATATTTGCACATCGCTTTCTAATACTCATTTATATTATAGCATTAACACTTCGCCACAAACTGCCATTACTCCAGAGGACTACACAGAACCGATTCTTAACCAAAGTTTGATTTACTTTACTGGGGAGATTGAAAAAAATATCTCAGTAAATATAGTCAACGATAAACTTGTAGAAGATGATCAGACGTTCCAGCTTTCATTGACTGGTGTTGATGGAAGTACCACGTTCTCAGACTGTAAGATTTCTAATGTAACTATTATCAGCAATGACGGTAAGAGCCAAATGTATTGGTAAATTTGAACAATATGGTTGAAGTTCGTGTCTGATTGACTTAAAGCTTGCTGACGGATCGAATGATTGATCTTTGAATGCTTTCATTTTAGTGAACATATTCTGCAGAGATCGGAGAGGACATCAAAGGTTTTACGAGAACAGACAAGGTCCTGTACTCATGGAGTTCACGCGAGAAGGATCTCTGCAATACAACCACACAATGAGGTATGGCTTGCAATATCAAAAAATTTCTAAACAGATTTTCATGAAAATATCGTCACTTTCTCTACGCGTGAACCATATACCCTGTTGTATAAAGCCGATCTCGTTGGAAATGGAAAACGTTGACGTTTTAGCCGACAAACCTTTAACTTTCAATAAACAGTTAAAAATTTAGGTGTCTGTTGATGCGAAGGACGATAAATACAGATAGAACCATAAGAAAAGGAAAACAAAGGCGCGCGCGGAAAAAAATGTTTTAGCGCTTTTTTGATTTTTTTTACTCTTTTGCATTATGGATTACTCTAACTTGACCTCAAAAACATCAAAATAATTAAAGTAGATTTTTCCCCCGATTTTATTTTCACCGTTCAATTGGGCTACCCAAACGGTTCAGGCAGTGGTAGATCAATCCTATCGACTTTTTTTCTTAATCCTGATCAAAATCGCCTTTAGATAGACAATATGTTGGGTTAGGTACCAGGGGAAGTAACGACTAAAGTTAGCTAAAGGCGCCATTAATTCATAACATTTAATATCTTATTGATTGATGATTCTTGACTTGCGTGTTTGACAGAATCACGTGACTGTTACTGACTTGCAAAAAATCGGAAGTCCTTTATTTAAAACGCACTTTTACTGGTTACCAACTTTTTCCAGAAATTTCATGGGTAATTTACGACTTTTCTGATGGTTTCGTCTTTTGATTGGTTGTTGTGAGATGCAAAAACTCTGAACGATCATTCTTGTCGTAGTTGCCTCGCACACGCATATATTAGTGTTYTAACAATAGCTATGATCATATGTTATGGGATAGCGCTCTCGGTAGAGCTACTCGGGATCTTTATTCTACTTTCTCTTCTTCTGACTAAAACTAATTACATGAGCTCTATTTATAATAACTTCATGACAGGTGTCATTCTACAATCAATATGATATTATCGCTGTGCCTTGATTGGCTAATGGAAATAGTAAATTCCTGAGTGCGATATCTTATTAAGAATAATACGAGTGAA